TTCCAGTATCTTAATTCGCAGTACCACAGGTTTTAGTAGATCGTCTCTGGTTTCAATGGCAATACGGAAATTTTCGAATTTTCTGGCAGACTATATAACATGATTATTGTAAGTAGATCTTCATTAATTTCTTAATTCATTTCTTTTAGTTTGTCTACTGTATCAAAGCAATTATTTAAATATTCATTTATATTTTCTCCGTCTTTCATTTTTGATAACGTCAATTTTTTTAATAGAAATGCCTTTTTAGCAGGTCCGCTTGATTGATGTATTGTTTCTAGTTTCTTCCATACTTCATACGATGTTAAACAATGTTTTATTTGTTTTAATTCTGTAGGGTCCATAGACAGTATTAAGTCTGATCGTGCTTTACTGTCCTTTATTTCCCATTCTCTAATTTTTTTGATTGATTCATCATTTTCCGGTATTAAAGTTGTTTTTTTTAATGTTCCATTTACATACTCCCATGCGTCATTTTTAATTAATATTGCTTCATTTGCAACTTCCATGTTTCCCAATTATTCTTTTTAAGAGGATCAATTTTAAAACTTGTAGACATTTTTTTATTTATTTTAGTTTGTCTTCTTTTAAAGGTTTGTTTTTATTACTGTTTTATATCTGGGCCCATAACCTATCAAAATTATGCGTTTTTATTATCTTTATATATTGACATTACATTACATTACATAGAATACATATCGGGTAGGCGGACCAACCAACCTTGCACCGCGACCCTAAGGATCTATTGTACCCCGATAGATATCGTTATCAAATTTCACCGTGCAGTCCAATGCTCTTAACGAACATTAATACCTTGCTCGGCGAAAGGTCATTCAGATCTTTTGAGGAGATAAACTGCGACCCAAAAATCGAGAATCTGATACGGTTAACGGCAGGGCAGTGGCATAAAACATGCTCAACCGTCTCTGCTTCCTCCGCACATAGTCGGCATTCAACATCGTCGGCTAAACCCAACAAGTTGAGGTGTGCTTTTAATCGGCAGTGCCCAGTAAAAACACCCATTAGAACTTTTATGCTACTACGGGCAAGTCCTAAAATATTCCCGGGTTTGACAGTGGCGATGTTAATAAACACCTTAGCATGTCTCATTCCAGGAGAACTGGTCCACAGTAGGCGAAGTCTCTCTTCAGCCCACAGTCCAATCCTATATTTGGCCATCGCAAATGATACACCAACTGCTGGTTCCGGTCCCACAAACGCTTCAGCGCTGCCATCTCGTGCTAGCTTATCTGCCGCTTCATTGCCAGCAACCCCAGAGTGACCCGGGACCCAGATCAGAGAGACTCTGTTATCACAACTCAGTGTGTTTAATGTTCTCTTACAATCATTAACCAGAGCCGACACCGTTTTCACGGCTTGCAGCGCCTGGAGAGCGGCTTGACTGTCTGAGAAAATTCGTACTGTCATGTTCTTCACCCCTCTTTCAAGAAGGATTTTAGCACCCATGTCAATAGCAAATACTTCCGCCTGGAATACAGTACAGTACGTACCCAGGCTGTAGGCTTGCTTAATTCGAGGTGTCTGGCAGTATACTCCTGCTCCTACCCCTTCAGGCGTTTTTGATCCATCTGTGTACAAGCAAATGTCTGCCCGAACCAGAGAATTTTCATTTTCGATCCAGGACTGCCGCTCAGGCAGTACAATCTGGTATCGAGCATTAATCACTGATAGTGATACCGCCAAATCTGACGGCATTGATAGCACAGTATCAGTGCTTATAATGTCTTCCGCAGCCCATTGGTAGGACATGTCGGAACAGTTTTGAGCATATTGCTTAAATCTGTAAATGGTTGTTCTAGCCACTTTCTCTATATGCAAATGCAGAGGAGATAGGCCAAGCAGAACCTCCATTGCTAGAGTTGGCGTTGTGCCTATCGCACCAGAGATTGCCAATCCAGCTACTCGTTGAATTCGTGAAAGTTTACTGATAACTGAAGTCTGTCGGACTTTCCTATACCAGGCTGCTGCTCCGTATGTGATCATAGGTCTAACCACAGTCACATAGAGCCAGTACAGTCTTTCAGGGGTAAGACCCCAATTTTTTCCACAAAGACTGCGACAAGTCCACAAGGATAGTCTAGCTTTGTGCAAAACTCCCTGCAAATGTCCATTCCATGACAGGGTTTTGTCTAGGATTACTCCTAGATATTTGACTTCCTTTGAGAAAGGAATTTCTTCACCTTGGATAGTTGGGCGGATTAGTCCATCCAACTTTCGCTTCCTGGTGAAGGGCACAACAATTGTCTTTTGCGGGTTTATTGAGAGGTTCTCTCCCTTACACCAAGCGCAAATGGTATCTAGGGTCACCTGGAGGACTTTAGATATCCTCGGCAAACAGGTTCCTTTGACCATAACGACAATGTCATCAGCATAAGCTTGTATTTCCACACCAACGGCTTCGACTATCGCAATCAGATCGTCAACTAGGAGGGACCAAAGCAGGGGAGATAACACCCCTCCCTGCGGGCAGCCACCTCCCGGCCTGAAGCGTATCGTATCACCGTGGAGTGAAGTAGAAACTATTCTACTATCTAGCATATTGCGGATCCAACCCGCTATAGTTGCTTCCACTCCCCTGTCAAGAGCAGCTCTTTCAAGAGATTGTGGTATTGCGTTGTTGAACGCTCCCTCTATATCCAGAAACGCACAAACCAAGATTTCTTTATCCTGCAGCGTCCTGGATACTCTACCAACTAAGTTGTGTAGAGCCAATTCTGCTGATTTTCCCGCTTGATAAGCATACTGGTGGCGACTCAGTGGACCAGATACCAATGGCACCGTACGGATATACCGTTCCAGAACTTTTTCAAGGGTTTTCAGCAGAAATGACGTTAGGCTGATGGGTCGAAAGGCATTAGAAGTAGGGACCGAACGGCCCGCTTTGGGTATGTAAGATACCCGTACCTTAGTCCATTCTGCCGGCACATATTTCCAGGCGACACTCGCTCTGAAAATTTTTACCAAAATTGGCAACAACAAAGACCTCCCCTGCTGTAACAAAGCAGGAAAGATATTGTCTTCTCCAGGCGATTTGAACGGCTTAAACGTTTGAATTGCCTGGTCCACGGATGTGTAAGTGACGACTTTTCTAGCCACACTCCAATCCGTATTTGAGGGGCGCTTTGCCTTGCAGGAATAGCCCGCTGTGGCATTATCGGCCCTCATCATCAGGCTTCCTGGGAAGTGAGTCTGCATGAGAAGCTCCAACGAGGCTCTGCTAGAGTCCGTAAAACTACCGTCAGGCCGCCTAAGTGAGCCCAGGGGTAGTGCCGGATCTCTAGCGAGCATCTTGTGAATTCTTGCACTGCTGGGTGTGTCTTTCACTCCCTCACAGAACCTCCTCCAAGACTCTCTTTTTGCCTTACGTATGTTTTTGGTGTAATTCGTTAGAGCCTGTTTATATTTCTCCCATTCACCTAATGTCTTGGCCCGGTTGAAAAGCTTTCGGACCTCTTGTCTTTCGGAGCTAAGAAATTCGTTCCACCAGGGTGTGCCCCGATTACTACTTTTCACCTTCAGTGGACTGCTACTGTGATATGCAGAGCGAATTGCCACAGAGATCTGCTCCGTGGCTATTTCAACCTGATCACAGTTTCTAACGGTTGCGATAACACTAGTTAGGTTATCTGCAAGGCAACTCTTAAACAGATCCCAATTAGTGCTACGGGGATTACGGTACGTACAGTCCGATTTCATCCCTAGATCAATTTTAAATTGAATATGTCTATGAGCTAAACACGACGGTTCAGAGGATACCATCCAGGAGGTTATCTTAGAGCTTAATATAATTGAGCTGAACGTAATGTCAAGTACCTCTGCTCTATTTCTGGTAACAAAGGTTGGTTTGGCGCCTACATTATTAACAGTAAGCCCCTCCCCTAATAGGTAGTCAAAAAGTAACTCACCTCTTTCATTTGTGTTGGTGCTTGCCCACATTGTGTGGTGGGCATTGGCGTCACATCCAACAACGACTTGCACGTTATTCCTCCGGCTGTAGGCAATTATGTCTCGCACAGCGGCCGGGGGAAGGTCATTTTCCGTTCCGGGGAAGTATGCCGAGCAGATGACAATTTCTGTCCAGCCCTTCTCACCTCGGATTCTCAGAACCGCAGCCACACAATATATATATATTGACAATTAATAATAACAATATTCACTTGTTTTATATTAAGTACTATATAGCTGTACCATGCGCGCGTTGCTACGCCACTAACTAAAATAAATTTGAAGGAAAGACTTTACACAAATATTCAATTCATTTTGAATCATTTTATTGATTTGAAGAAATCCATAAAATGACTCCTTTAGAAACCTTCGTGAGGTCATGCACAACAACTTTGCTAAAGATCATCACATGATCAAACGCATAGTTTACGATTCTATAAAGGACATACAGACAAACATTCATTTTTATATGTATATATAGATATAACTACTCATAAAACATTAATGCACTCTTGATTGAGATTGTTTTATGATGAAATATAACATTTCAACACATAACCCTAGACGACTCCATATTAGGCTGTAACCAGGTCTCAGTAACAACCAAAAAGTAGATAGGAAATTACGGGTAAAGGTTTGTTGCCATCGTCCCACGGGTCTTTTTTATGTAAAATATTAAAATAATAGACTTTTAATATCCTTCGTTTAAAAATTTTATAGAATTACATTTCAGGAGCTGAAATATTATCATTTTCTGGGGTGTATATAGAGTTTATTGTATCACTATAGAAAGATGAGAATTTCTTTTTCTTCTGGTTGACCTTGTTGGTTTCGTGGTTTCGATTTAAATCAGTTCTTCATATTATTAGTCACGACCCAACACCATCTACTCTCTACATTAATTTAATTTTAGGCAACACAATTTACATCCCACACATGATTTTATCATAATAATAAGGTATATAAACTTATTAATATATTTTTTTTATATAAATTGCTTTTATTTCAATGAAAATAACAACATATTTTTAAAATCAATTTTCTATAAAATGTATTAAAAAAATATCATAACTTTGAACACGTTGGTTTCATTTTGTAGATGCCATCCCAAAATTCCATCCTTTCTTTTTCTGGATTTTCTCCCAAAGTTAATTTAAAGTCAATATCTAAAAAGTTAACCGCATCTTTAGTAACCGGTTTCCACTCGACGTTTTCACCCAATCCCGGTAAATTAGGATTCCCAGTTTTTGCAAAATTTCCCCATAGTTGGGTAATTTTTGAAATACACTCACAATCGATGCTTAAACGATCGATTTCGTTGTGAGAGAAGTTTTTAAATAGGTAACATAAATCATCACCGTGCGCAGCACCTAATATAAAAAAATAAGAATTTTGGGATAATTAATTAATAAAGTTACCTTTTGAAGTAATCCCAGCAAACGTTTTAAAAAGGTTCATTGGGCCATCAAAAGAAAATCGGTACAAATAAACGGGTTCTTTTGATGTAACACTGTGATGTTTAGCACAAGTGTAAATACCACGTAAAAATAAATTGTCGGTGTTCAACTAAAAATTTAAAACAAATAAAAATTTAATATTGCCGTTTAATAATTTTCTTTCTCACCATATACCACGGATCTTTATCTTGCAAACTTTGTCCTTTATCGCCGAAATAAAATTGTTTAATTTTTTGCCCCGTTGCAATTGAAATTGGAGATTTTTTCTCCAACCCCAACCAAACCGGAACCGTATCTTCAAAATCTTGAATTATTTTTTTATCCTCATCGGGAATTATTAAATCAATAAGCATCCCTTCTCTCGATGTATACCCCATCATTATCGGCACTTGATTGTATCGACCTTGAAGTATTAGATCTAAAGGTGGCTCAGAAAGGAATGCTTCTTCATACGGAGAAATTTTTTCTATTATTGGACCAAGAGGACGAAAATCATCGGCTCTTATATGCTTAAAAATTAATTAATTAAAAAAAATCGACACTAACAAAAATTAAAAAGCTTACATCTTTTAATTTAAATTGTGCTTTAAATAGATGTTCAACAGAAACATTTTGTAAAACTTTTAAAATTTCTTCTTCATTATTCGTTTCTTTTTTGAGGATGTTACATAAATCTTTAGCTGAATAACTCCCCCATGCCCAAGGATTTAAAGCACACCCACTTTGCGGGATTGCCTTATGAAATAACCCTCTTGCCATTGGGGATAAAATTAAGTAATGAACTGAAGCCCCTCCAGCGCTCTCCCCAAAAATCGTAACATTATCAGGATCCCCACCGAAATTCTTAATATTATTTTTAATCCATTTCAAAGCCATAACTTGATCTTTGAGACCAGCGTTACCTGGGACTCCCAATTTAGGGTCGTTGAGGTATAAAAACCCCAAAGCGCCTAATCTATAATTTATGGTAACAACAACAACATCTTGTGGTATTAAAAATTCAGGGCCGTAAAGCTCTCTATTTCCAGAACCTGAAAGAAAACCGCCACCATGAATCCAAACCATAACCGGTTTAAGATGATCAAAATTTTCAGGAATCTAATAAATTAAATTCTAATTAATAAAAATTTTTTAATTGGTGGTGTATTAAGTACTTTGGGAGTATGAACATTTAAAAATAAGCAATCCTCAGAACCAACAGTATTTGCATTAATCATATGAAGGGAATAACATGGATCTCCTTCTTTGGTAGCGTCCCTAATTCCATCCCAAGGTAATGGAGGTTGAGGTGCCTTAAAAAAATTAATATAAAATTTAATCAGTGATAAGAAAAATGAATACCTTAAATCTTAATGGTCCTATCGGTGGTTTGGCATAAGGGATTCCTTCAAAACTAAAAAATTCTCCCCCAAGAAAATCTTTACAAACTTTTCCCCGCAATTTTCCTTGTTCAATTTGAACGGTAACCATTTTTATCTTTTGATATTTTCACTCGAATGGTACGATCTAAATCTTACTATCAGACTGAGGAGATTATCACCGGTGAGTTGCTAAAAATTTAAAACGTCACGTGATCTTTGGTCTTTGAGCGAGATGCAAAAACATTTTTTAATAATAAATAAAAAAAAATCGTTTGGAGGTTATGATTTTAAGTGGATTCTTTTCGACTACTAATCACTCTGTTATGTTGTAACGTGACCTTGCTTAATACCCTACTTACATAGTTGTAGGATACATCTCGAATTAAAATGGTTTTTATCTCCAAGATTTAGACAACCCAAAATACCGAGTTTTTAGAAGTGTTGTGTAAATCAGCCAGACTAGAGTTTTCAACTTTTTTCGCGTACCTACATATTTTGACTGTAAGAAAGTTGATGTTTTTTTTTGTTAGTTGTGACTTATGGTATAATTAATTGCACGTAACAGTCAAACAGAGGCGCTTGGTTAATTTTGGCCTAGTTCTCTAGTTACCGGCACTCTCTAAAGAACACCTTAAAAACGACTGGTGAGGAAGTAAATGATGGTATTGGAGATGTACTAATATCACCATGTCTGATCTACAGTGGATTTAAGGCATGGCAACCCTTCCAGAAAAGTCCTGCAGGTGTATTTGGCGTTAGTCAACGTTGAGACTCCATAAGAACGCAGTGTCTGGCGCACAATTTAAGTATGTGAGCAAAGAGTCGGCGTAGCCTGGCAGAATTGATGGCGGTATGAAGGGATGTAACATGGATCTCCTTCTTTAGTAGCGTCCCTAACCGCTGTACTATATGTGGCAGAATCTAGACAGAATCCGGAACGAATATGTTCGTGGTAGCTTCAAGATGGCCCCTGTGACTAAGAAACTTATGAGAAAGAAGAAACTTATAAGTATAATTTATCTAAACCGACAACCCAGAGCAGAATGTCGTGGCGCAGAAATATTAGGAGAGCCGACCCCACTTAAAGTGGGAATGAGCAAAGAAGAAGAGAAGATTGCGCGCAACTGTTCAAATTGATAGGGATAATGTAAATACGCCTGATATGATTTATTGGAAAAATCCAGATGATTGTGGATACCTATTGTTTAATAGTTAAAGTTTTTAGTTATGACTTAAGGGGCCTATCCACGGTCATGCATGCTGTTCATGCCGTTTCTTACTTTCTCCATACACTATCATGCAAGCTTGCCATTCATTTATTTAATCCGTATCCTCGAAGGTGGTAAATACTGATTATCGGTACATCTATAATGAGTGATATAGCTTGCGCTTTAATAATAATCGAAGAGTTAACTCGTAAAAAGAGACGACATAGGTATTGGTCGAAGCGTTGGTTTCTACAACGTCAAAAATTTTCGCATATCAAACTTTTAAAAGAATTAGAAGTTTCTTCGACAGAAGATTATAACAATTTCTTAAGAATGGATCTTGAATTATTTGACGATTTGCTGCACAAGGTCAAGCCTTTCATTGAAAAACAAAATACACAGATGAGAGATTCTATTTCACCACAACTTCGGCTTTCTACCATACTGAGATATTTGGCCAGTGGTCCAACTTATGAAGATTTAAAATTTTTGACAGCAATAGCTCCGCAAACAATAGGAAAAATTGTAATTGAAACATGCGAAGCGATTTTGAAATTAGTACGTTAAAATTATTATCGTTTTTTCATTATAACATCTTAATGATATTGAGTATCGCTTAATAAAGACGATACATCTGTATAACATGGTGTCTGCATTGGTTCATACACCTAGTTTTGAAAGGCGACCATGATACAGAATGTCATCAATATGCTTCTTGGCATACAGTTATTATTATTATTATTATTATTGCTGCCGGGCTGAGGAGGGCGGCCCCTCTCGTTACCGCGACCTATAAGATCTATTGTAACTTTAGCCCTCCAAAGATTTAGGGCAAATGTAGGTCCTTAATGAACCTTAGTATTATCCTGAGGTCTTGAACCTTTATGTCGGTAGGTAACAGGGGAGTTTTACCGAAGACGTTGTGCCTTAGACGGCCTCTGGCGACGCAATTGCACAGTATATGTTCAGCAGTTTCTGACTCGTCGTTGCATAGTCGACAAGTTTGATCCTCAGCTTGTCCAATGTGGAAGAGGTGGTATTTTAGGGGCACATGGCCGGTTAGGTAGCCTGAGAGCGTTCTTAGATCCCCTTTGCTGAGGCATAAAACCTCTTTGGTTTTGTTTTGCGACGGAGTTATCATACTCTTCGCTTGTCTGTGACCTGGAAGTTCTTTCCAGCGTAAGGCTATCTTTGAAGCCTCCCAGTTGTTGATTATTTGTTTTAGGTGGCTTTTTTGTAGTCCACATCCAGGTTGGGGTCCAATGAAGGGCGTGTTTGCTGCCTCTTTGGCCAGCTTGTCGGCCTTCTCATTGCCCTCAATGTTGCTGTGACCTGGAACCCACCATAGGGTAACATCATTGCCCCTAGCGAGTTCTCTCAGGTTGTTGGTGCACTCTCTGATCAGTGCGGAGCCACACGTGTAGGCCTGAATTGCCTTTAAGGCGGCCCGACTGTCTGTGAAAATGTTTATGGATGCACCTTTTTGTCCCTTCTGTAGGTTCAAAGCGGTGCAGAAGTTTATAGCAAGAACTTCTGCTTGGAAAATTGTTAAGTCCGAGCTGAGGGGCAATTTTATGTGGCTATTTGGTCCACTGATGCTCATGCCTACTGCAGATCTTACTGTCTTTGAAGCATCGGTGTACCAGGCCAGGGCTCCTCTTTTTAGTTGAGGCCCTCCTTTCGCCCAGTCATCCCTGCTACTAAATATGACCTTATACGGTTGGTTGAAATAGTATTCCGTCGGTATAAGGTCCGTTTTAATTTCAATCAGGTGATTTAGACATGGGTCTTTGAGGATCTCGAGGTGTCCTCTGAGGTTACCCTGCATCAACTTGAGTGAAGAAACTGTTTTCAGTGATAAGGCACTTAAGGCTGCCTCCTTTTGCATATATATGTGGAGCGGTGTGAGACCGAGTAGGGCTTCCAAAGCAGCCGTCGGACAGGATCTCATTGCACCCGTTATGTTAAGACATGCTAACTGCTGGATTTGTGCCAGCTGTTGTTGAGCTGTCTTATGTTTTGTTTTTGGCCACCAAAGCAATGAGGCGTAGGCGACCGTGGGTCTGATTATTGCTACGTAGGCCCAATGAGCCATTCGTGGTTTGAGACCCCAGTTCCTTCCTAGGAGCCTGCGGCAGATCTGGTTTGCCATGATGGCCTTTTTCCTCACCTTATCTAAGTGGCATACAGTTGCTGCTCAACGGAAAGTTTTCTGTATTGCGATGCCCAAACTTTGCCGAGCATTTCTGCCTTATCACTTACTGTGTCTAAATGTTTAACTGCCTTTTTTAGAAGTTCATTTCTTTTATTAGACAACTTTTGTTTTTTTGGACGTGATGGAGTTACTTGTGTTGATTCGGCTTCTAATGAATCTTCTGGTGCCTAAAAATACCATTTTAAAATTACGTTCATATACTAAAAGATACAATTTTAAAAGTAAATTTAAATATACTTTGCAATTTCTGGATGCCAAGAAATAAAGAGGCCCGGAAAGAAATCGCATCAAATTTTAATAGCCTATGGAATTTCCCAAATTGCTTAGGTGCAATAGATGGAAAACATGTAGCGATTATAAACCAGCAAATTCAGGTAGCCACTATTTTAACTACAAAAAGACTCACAGCATAGTGGTGATGTTTTTTTAATAAAACATCATATCCCTTCGACCGTTTGTTTTTATCCTTGTATTTTCCGCTTTTAACCTCCTCATGATCTCTATATATTTCAAAAAATTCCATCCAAAAGGACTTCTCGCTCCCACAAGCCATGTTGAAAGTGATGATTACCTCACAAAGGTTACAGATGGAATGACGAAATGCATAACAGCATTGCCATCCAGTGCACGCTTGTTTGCAAGCCAGATACCCCGCCCACAGAAATACAGAACGGTTTGAATTGTCTCATGCCAGGTAGTCATGCCGAGGAAAAAGTCTCATGCAACCCCATCCACGGTCAATCTTGCATGATAGCTTGCGATGCTCGTCATGCATGTATGACCGAGGATAGGCCCCTTTATAACTAGTGATGGAACGGATAGTTGTTTTGCGAAAAGCCGGATACCGGATATTCGGCATCCCCTTCGGCTGGATATCTGGTTATCCGGCATATCTATCCGGCGATTATGGTTATAATTTCTGGTGCATTTCTGAAGTGATACCCTATATTGCCACACTATTGCGATATTTGAATAAAAATGATGAAAAGGATCCAAGATACAAAATAAACTTTTTTGATGCTGATTTAACTAACGAAGCAACTCTAAGAAGAGGATACTTTAATTAATAATTGGCGATATTTCCACAAGGATCCTTCAAAAATTAATTATCGATGAAAATTGCAACATCGAAATTTTTATCAAATATTGTTTTCTCAAAAACTAAAGGTTATTTTTCAAAACGTGTTAGTTCACTAGAAAGGGGATACTTTTATTAACATTTTGGGAAATTTTCATACTCATATTCCAAGAAATCGATTTTATACGAATTTTTAAAACTTAATCAGCGAAAATTGTTAAATTCGAAAAAATTCTCGATCATTTCAAAAATTTATTTCTCAAGAAGTGAAAGGGATTTTTCAAAACGGCTTTTTGTATTAAAAGAACATACTTTAATTAATAATTGGTTATATTTCCACAAGGATCCTTCAAGAAATTAATTTTATAGCGAATTTTGAAAGTTATCGATGAAAATTGCAACATCGAAAATTTTATCAAAACTTCAAATATTGTTTTCTCAAAAACTAAAAGTTATTTTTCAAAACGTGTTGGTTCATTGGAAAGAGAACACTCTTATTAATACTTTGAGAAATTTTCACACTCATATTCCAAGAATTGGATTTTATACGAATTTTTAAAACTTAATCGGCGAAAATTGCAATATTTGCAAAATTGTTACTCTGTGCTACGCCCATGCACGTTGCTATAGTAACTAAGTGGCATTTAGCGCTTTCCTCGCCTACTAAAATTAAAAATTTGAACTTTAACCTTTAATATTTTAAAATTGAAAAATAACGCTTATTTTCCGCAAATACACGCATGCGAATCATGCGATACATCATTGGAAAGCTAAAAATATACTCTTTTCATAATTAACTATAGTTTGTATTTAAAAAAAACAACTTTAAACAAAAAAAAAACAACTTTTTAAATATGAGCATATTTTGAATTCGATAAATTTTGAATTTTGGTTATAACTTAACAACAAAAGAAGATAGAGGTTTGGTCTTTGCGGCATTGGATTAGTCTCGGAAAAAGAGACTGGGACGTGGCACCTACTTTTTTCGTATCTCTTATAATATCTGAGATAGCCTATAATAACACCTAAATTTGCCCACCCTGTACATAGTTCCTTAACCACAATGTAAGAAGGATATATAGTCGAAGGATATATTAGAAAGTTCGCTGGATAATTTTCTCCATAGTTGAAACATTTAGCCGGAGTTTCTTTGGCTTTAGTGCATTCGTTGGTCTCGTGCTCACCAGTGCATTTAACACATTTCTGATTTATGTTGCAGTATGTCTTGGTGTGGTTCCCACCTTGACTCCTTTTGTACTGGGGCATTTGTTTTGGCTTTCTGTACTCTTCAATTTTGACACACATGCCTAATATGTTCGTTATTTCATGAACTCTTTTCACATCTTCTGACGGTGCAAGATCCAAGATGTAAAGGTTCATTTGTTTTTTATTTTAACGTTTAGGTTACTTTACAAAAGTTATAATTGTGCTTTAATAGTTCATTTTTGATGTTATTAACATCACAGCTTTTACGCATCTTTTTAGCCACCATTTTTAGATTTCTGGTTTGTTGGTTTCATAAGTGGACCAAAATAAATTTTCTTCAGTAAGCATCTTTGATGCATCTCCGTACTTTTGCGCAGCGTTTCAGGTTGATTCTCAATTTCCAACGACAGTTTAGATGGAGAGGTTTCAATTTTGCGTTTTTTGTTGCTTTTGGCTTGTTTTATTATCCAGCCAGTCTCCAGAGCTAACTCATCTTCTTCTTCAA